GTAGATCTCTAGAGTGTATAGATTTTACAAGATAGTGATAGTATTTACAAATGATATCTTTTATAAGATTAACTAAGATAATAATTAATATAAATACTCTAGTATTAGAATGATTTATTATATATAGAAGAGAAAAGAGCTCTCTTTTTGAGATTAATATCTATATATTATAGACCTATTATATATATCGTTTAAGCGATATATATAATATATATATAATATATCGATAAAAATCTTATATTTTAAAGAGATAAATTCGATTATTTTATATATTTCTCTATAAAGACTCGTTTAAGTATTTCTATTCGATTCAATTCCTTAACTTGAAGCTTATATTATATCAAATCTTTATTATATATAATAAACTATCTAGATAAACACATCTATTATACTCAAGCAAGCCCGACTATTATATTCTCTATAACTTTATATTATATTTCTCAACCTTATACTACTCGAGTATATACTTCCTTCTATCCCGGACCCCGCATATAACAATACATTACACTAAGATCAATCATAGCATTGGACCGCAACATCACATTTCGCATATACTCATATACTCCTATCCTATCCCAAACATATTAATCCATATCCCACGATCTTTGTATAAGTACAATAACACAATACAATATAGTACCCGAACCTAAACCCGATTATTTATTATTCTCCTATCACAACTTGATCTCGGTATCATATCAAACCCTTACCTAGATATCTAATCATTCGCAAAATAATCCTTCACCATCTACTTGAGTTTTGCTTAATCCTCTAGAGTATATTTTTGTCACTTCTAGCTTTTTTCTCCTTTCTCTTTCTTTTCCTTTCCTTTCCCTTTCTTGTATATATCTTACATCTATCTAGATTCCAATCCTATCTAACGATCACAATACCTATCTACCGAATCTCAAAACCCACACCGTTCCTTGACCCGGGGTCCCGGGACCCTAATCATATTGATCAACACAACACCCCCCTCCTTACTATATACTACACCGGTAGCCAGTATATATAATATATATATATATACATACAAATCTTTTACCCAATCCTCCTAGAGATAAAATAATCATATAATATACTGTATCTATATTAATCTTTTTCCTGCCAATATATTTACAATTCCTCTTCCATTTCCATTTCCATTTTATGCAATATCGAGTATATATCTAAGTACCTAGTAATTCCCAACCAACAGATACACAAGAATGGCAAAGGCCTTCCGAAACATACTTCCCGGGGTCATCTCATCTCGTCACACAATCTTCCGAGCGCTATACCAAATTTCATTCCCCCCCCCGAAGCTCATTGGAAGGGTTCCGAGCGCGGGCTGGTTCGAATTTCTAGGTCCTAGTACTCGGGATTTGATGTGATGTGATATTATATTCCTCTCCATGCGGGTATTTGTAAATATATACTCGTACGGAATACTCGAGTACTCGTATGTATACTAATTAATAACCTATGCAGATGTATACAAGAAATGGGTATGCACAGCTCCAGTGTTCTTTACAGTATTTCTTTACCGAATCTCGATATATCGAGGGTGTAATAATAATGTGCTTTTTTCAGTCAAAAAAGAAAAGAAAAGAAAGATATGCAATGCACGTTCAGGCCCCCTAGCTGCATATCTTGTACTTCCACTTTATTTCCACTTTATCCAATGATGTGGTACGAGGTTGATGCAGATAGGATAGGTATGGGGTATGGAATAGAATAGGTGATGGATGGATTTGGATTGATGGATGGGATGGATGAGGTCGGCTCTGGCGGTTAGCTGGGATTCTTGGGGGGGGGGCAAGGGGGGGTTTAAATGTAATGTAATGTAGTGCATGTATATGGAATTAATGTTTGTACTTGGAGAATGGAGATGGAGATAGAGATAGAGCTGAAGATGGAGATAGAGCTGGAACATAGAGCTGGAACATGAGGCTGGATATGAGATCGGAAATGTGCAATGTGAAATGTGAAATGTGAGATATGTGTTACAGTAACAAGTGATCTAGATGTCTAGATGTCTTTCCGAGATATTGAAGTCTTGGATGCCTAACCTAAGGACCTAACAACCTAAGGGATGCAAAAATCGGGCTCATTCGTTTGCCTCTTCTTCTTCTTCTTCTTCTTCCTTTTCTTGTGTTTACAATGGGGATATACCATAAAAGAAGTCCTACAGTAGTTCCGAGGATATTATGTTTCGGCCCAGATGGTCCCGAGTGCCGAATATGGTTGAGCGAAAAAGGGAAGAAGAAAAGAAGGGAAGATAGTAGTATTAGACTATACATCTGTGCTTGGAAATGCACTTGTGCTTATTTGTTTGTTTATAAGAATGTAAAATGTTGTATATAGAACATATACATATATTTTAGTCTCCATAATCCATTCATTCCATTACCATATTCATAAAAACCTTGATACTCATAGAAAAAAAATGAAGAAAAAAAAACTCCTCCCTCATCCTGCCAGCCAGTAATTTCACATGAAAAGTTGCCTTCCTTCCTTGAATGCATCCATCGCACTATTCATGGAGAAAACGCCTTCCTTTCCCATTCATTGCTTGCCTGCTCAGTCCTTGTGATTTCCCAAATTCCCCCTGTCCGTTGCTGGATATGTATTGTTTAAAAAGATGTCCTACACCATTCCCATTCCCATTCCCATTCCCATTCCCTAATCCTTCCTTCCATCCATCCATCCATCCCTTTGCTCCATCCCAATATTCTTCTTTGCATTGCCCAATGAATGTTGTGCTGTATATCTGTGTGTCCAACATACTGCACAAACATACATACATACATACAGTAAGAAGTATTCCGGGCCAGTGATGATCCAGAAAAAAGTATTCGTCGCGTTCGCCCCAATTCCAATTGATCCGATATCGTTCTTCTTCTTCTTTTCGTCATTTTCGTCATTTTCGTTCTTTTTCTCTTCCGTTCTTTCTTTGTTTCGTTCCCGGTTTTCGTTGTCATACATGATATGATGAATGGATAATGCCAAGTCCGAATGTGAGTGAATCAAATCATTCATCATATATGAATTCGATTCTGTTTCTTCGTGATTCGGGAGTACCATTCGGGCATCTCTCCTACATGTTTACAATCTCCTAATGTTTGGTTAGCAAGTGTTAGATATATCATATTATCCGTATTCGATTCGAACGATCTAGACCCGACGGAACTAAAAGGAGGGGTTTGACTAACCACACACTTCCCTTTCGCCCAATCTATGAAAATGGAAAGTTAGTATGATTGATTCAGAGAAACATAAAACACAATTTGTTGTTGGAAGAGATGGGAGATGAGAGCTAAAATGTATGTACCTAAACTCCACGGCCACAATATTGGGCGGACAGCGGCGATGTGTAGTCTCATACTTGATACACCATGCCCGCACAGTATAACGAACGTGACCTATTCATCCAACAGAAACTTGTTAGTCTACTTTGTCAATACCTAAACATAATTCTAACTGGAAGATGAAAAATAACCACTAACCACATCGAAACTCAACCTGAGTATATTCGCACATTTTCAACGTTGAGGTAACGTAAATGCTCTCTGAGGAGGGGGAAGGAGATGGGTTGAAAGATTTATCTCAGCCTCGGGACCGGGAATTGCGTTTCCCTTATCTTGTATTGTGATCCGAGTAAGAAATAACGATGGATCGAAACGTTTCGGGTTTATCGAGTTTATCGAGTTGTCTTTTTGTTGAAACAATGAATGAAAAAGTTAAGGTATATCTTGTTTATTATGTAGTTGTAGAGCTCGGGTAATAGAGGGGAAGTAGATGGTTAGGTTGATATACTCGAGTAGAGAAAGTTTGATCGTCTTTTTTTCCTTTTCCAAGAAAAGTTTCGAGGTCGAGAACTAGAACGACGAGGGACTACATATGTATATACAAAAAGCTAACCACACCATGCACCCCTCGATCTAAGGTTCCACCCGGTTGATTCGGGCCCATTTGGGCTCAAAAGATCACGGTGTGGTCCTCCGGGGTAGATTCCATGTTGCAAGGGAATGCTAGGAATACTTTATTATAATGAATTTTTGAGTTTTTTATTTGACAATTAGCGTTTAACCTGATGGAGTATAACTATAAGAAAGTGTCCTTTCCTTAAATGACTTGTTAATTAATAGAAAGTAATAAGGTAACACATGTGGCTTTCAACTATTCAACTCTCAACAGGGGTTTGAGAACAATACAATTGGCATAAAAGTCCTGCAGGGATGAGCGAATGCCGGGACATATCAAAACTCCAGGGGTAGAAGATCCAACTGAATAAGGTGACCAAGGTCATTTCACTGGTCAACTCTTCTGGTAGGCTGAACTAGCGATTTTCATAACACGTGGAATTCTTAATCATCAATTAACCTAACTACTTCATACAGCAGCATGGATTTGCACTGCTAACCCAATAGAATAGTTAAGGAAGTGGATATCTCATCTAGCATCAGACCATTTCAGAACAGAATTTTTTTTTCCGTACGAGGAAGCGAGGAATATTTGCGGTGACAGAATAGAATCTGCAAGGCGCCGAATACCAGGTAAAATTCTCCTGAAAATATATTGTATACCGGCCGGTAGACTAGTAAAAAGTGGCAAGTAAACGTTGAAAGACAGGGTCATGAAAGTTCAAAGTCGCTTGCTTGGCCAGTTGAAGTGCATATTTGACAAGCACAAGCAGATCACCCAATCTTCAAGCGCTTTCGGGTGTATCCGTGTATCCTAGGTGTGATAGGCCACGATCCCAAGATTAGACTCAAGAATATCCTAAAGGAAATTATAGCCTAAGAGGTATTATGCCTATTGTTCCCATTTTTGCAAAATTCGCATCAATTTAACCTCCCGAAGAGCAATCAAGAAAAGCAAAAACTTGAGAAAAACAAAATACGGAGAAGTTCAGCTTACTGTATGTACAGTAATAGCCTGGCGGCATTCAACTGGGTGTGAAGGCAAAATTGCCGTTTTCGACAAAGTGTCACAAGGATAAAAGCACTATTAGAACTGGCGTAATGAATGATTTGCTAATGCTAGGGGGAGTTGTGGAGGATACGTCGGACTATTCCCATGTTGCTGGGTCTTGAGCCCCTGGTATAGTATCGGAGTTTTAACCCTAGGGGCACAGCAGGAGGGTATGTATTCATAATTTTCACAATGCTGACCTTTTGACCCCCGTCCCTGCTTTCTGTCGCCGATATGCGTAAGAGGAAATTTGCGCGATCAACACATATCTTGTTTAGATAGGAAGTTCAATCCCGTTTGAGTGGAGAGACTGAACAGCAGCGCAGCCTTGACGCAGCCAAGTCTTTCCTGCCGGTAGTTAGATGTTGATCGTAGATCAAATGATCATATCATATAAGCCGATCAAGCGCTTGCATGAGTTCGAAACCTCGTAGGCTCGTAGCCGTTTTGTGCTCTGGAGCTCCTCGTATCTTCATAAGTAATCTTCTCGAATTACCGTTTGAAGACTTAGGTACTCCGGGGCAGATTCCAAAGCTGTCTTGAGGTCAGGCACTGATGGAAGTCGATCAGCGCATGGCTCCGCCGCGATATTGTAGCGGCATCAAGCTAAGGGGGTAAGCGGAATGTTTCTCATGTCTATCACCCTTAAGCCGTTATCGAGATCTCACGGCATGTACAGTGCAATGTGCACAGAAGGTTTTATTGTTCCATCGGAGGGTCCAGGGCTTTCAGGGCTTTGATCTCCGAAGTCTGTATATTTTTTTATATGAAAGTCGTATAAAATGGAAAAATATCGGTAGTACTGTACAGTAGTTGTTTCTCAAAGATACTGCGTAATCATATGCCCCATGCCCTCAAAGGATGATCATGCGGTTATCGCCTGTATGCCTCCAAATGAACCAGGAGAAACCAGCTAAATGACTTTGACTTTCTTGGAAGCAATTTCACCTGAGGTGGCCTCACCCAGAATTAACAGCTATTGGTTGACCCTATCAAATAGAAATCTAAATACCTAAAAGCAGTCAGATCCCTAAATATAACTCAGCAGCTATAAAAACATAGAGTTATCGATCGAATGCTTGAACCCTACTAAGGAGTAGATGAACCTTATGTGGGCTAACGCATTGGGACTTTCGAATTTCAGTTCGATCCTGATTTAAAATGTATCAGCATAACAAATTTCATGATATCTGGGTCATCTTGGTATCACAATCTACCGCCGACGTTACACAGAACTTCTAATCAAATGAACTCGGGCGATCCATAAAGTCTAAATCATGTACTAGATTCGATTCTGACTGGCCTCTTTCCACTCAAATCTCTCAGCTCCTGTATCTCACTGTACTAGAAACCATACACTGATCACCGGCACGACCGAGAACAGGACACTGAGAATAGACACGTCACCCACTTGTTTGATCTTATTATCAATAACAGACGTTCTGCGAGCTATGCATCGGAGGATATGAAACAGAGCCAATACGTCCCGTTTCTTTTTCAAACTCTATTGCACTGCACTGCTTGCGCACCGTTGATCTGCCAAAAGATGCGTCTCGAACTCGGTCCCTGTCTTTCAGCGTGGGGGTCATCATTAAAAACCCTGCCCAATTTCACCGCTACACAACAGAAACGTAAGAACTAGAGGGTTGGAGGATAAGCTGGCTGCGATCAACTACCGCGCCTAGTAGAACGGATTGCCGCCGTCTTGGAATTTGGAAAGTTAAATATTCCTACCAAAGTATAGCCCATAATATTGGGATGAGTCTTTGTGAAAGTCTCTTGATATTATTCTAGTCTATAGAAGCTTCAATTAATAGGCGCCGAATAGGAAGAAATGAAAGATGTACATAGCCTCAAGTAAGGAATAGTCGCGCTCTATCGACAAGACAAGGGAGCACGAAACGATATTGATAATTGAGCTCGGGACAATAACAATGTTTTGAATGGCATGATCTCCATGCCGTAACGCCTCGAAGCATCATCTCCACAGCTATAGGAAATAATTCAGTCGAAAAAGCTGACATTTCGAACACGGCAATCTCCTTTTCTTCTGTACGGTTAATCTCATGGTATTGTATCTTCTGTTATACCCATGGATAGTATCTGTTGAGCTGGTTCGTTCGTATGAAAATGACAAGATCAAGGATAATATTTGCAGCTATTCGCATAGCATACAAAAGTCTCCGGCAGTCCGTATTGAGAATTTGAGACAATCAAACAATAATCAAACCAAAAAGAAAAGAAAACAAAATAAAAGTGCCTTTCTCCAAAACAAACTCTAAAGTTCAGCTTTCGATAGCTATATTCAATGTTATAATTTACATTCTTTTATTGCTTTTATTAATCACTAGATAATATAAGGATACTGAGTCAGTGTCTATTTTCATATACTCGGACAGGTCTTTGAAGAGGGATACGCAAAATAACCGAATTTGCCTCTTCAAAATATGATATTTTCTAATATTATTTGATAATATA